TCCTGGCTGAATGAGGTGTGGAAGTGGGGCGGCCGGAAGAAGGGGGCGGGGCTTCGTCGTGTGCCCCGCCCCCTGCACCTCGCCCGGGGGAACTGTGTTCCCCCGCGTTCCCCCCCGAAATGACCTCTGGGCGGAGCTGAGAGACCTCTTTCGAGAACTGCTGTTGAGAGAACAGCTCTGAGAGAACTTTTGACTGACCCAATGTCACACCAGTAGCTGCATGTGGAGGAGTGGAGAATCAAACCTGGTTCTCCCAGATTACAGTCTGCGCTCCTAACCCCCACACCAAACTGGCTTCCCCCTTCTCTTGTAGTATGGCTAGGTGCTTGAGAAACACCTCTGAGACCAGCCTGTAGCTTAGGGTCACCAGGTCCCCTTGCCGTGGTGGTGGGGGAACTTTGGGGGCATTCCGGGGGTGGGCGGGACATCACACACGATGTCCCCGGCATGATGACATCACCCGGAAGTGATATAACCAAATTGGGGGTGTTCCATGACGATATCCCTGTTTGGGGGCGTGGTTTCCCCTGCCGGCCAGCTGCCCGGTGGCGGATCAAAACCTCCAAAAGGGAGGGGAACCCCCACTGGGACCTGGGGGCTGGTAACCCTACTTTTGCTAGGGCTGCCAACCTCCTGGTGCGGCCCAGAGTTCTCCATGAATTACACCTGATCTCCAGACTAGATAGGGCTGCCAAGTGGGGGCGGGTGGCGGGTAAACCCCCGCTTTGGAGGCCCAATTTCCGCCGCCGCGGAATCGAGCCCCGGGGGGAACTCCGCCCCCCGAAGCACAGCGTGGCTGCGTCACCAGAGGTGACGCAACCACGTCGATCACGTTGGGTGGGTGGCCCCGATTGCCGGAGGGAAAACTCTATGGTTTTCCCTCCGACCGTGGGCGACACGCCCTCAACGTGATCGATGTCGCGCGTCACTTCTGGTGATGTGCTGGCAGCGCGCGTGTGCGCACATGACAAGGGACGGCTCCCGGAGCGCAGTGAGGCTTCCCTGCCGGTGAGTAAAATTCACTTGGCAACCCTAAGACTAGAGAGATCAATTCTTTGTGGAGAAGACGGCAGCTTTGGAGGGTGGACTGACTCAGTGACTTCACATTCCCAATGAGCTCCTTCCCCTCCCCCAGGCCCCGCCCTCTAATCTCCAGGAATTTCCCAAGCCAGACAAGGCCCCCTCTCTCTCTCCCCCCCTCTCTCTCACTCAGGGATGCCAGCCTCCAGGTGGGACCTGGAGACTGCCAGGAATTACAGCTCATCTCCAGACCAGTGTTCCCTCTAAGCTGAGTTAGTGTGAGCTAGCTTACAGTTCTTTAGCCTCCTGCTCACAGATTTTTGTCTTAACTCAGGAAGGATGGCTCCAGAGCAGACTAATCTATGCAGTAACCAAATCACCTGCTCACAACTTTAATGCCAGTAGCTCACAAAGTAGAATTTTTGCTCACAAGACTCCACAGCTTAGAGGGAATATTGCTCCAGACTACAGAGATCAGTTCCCCTGGAGAAAATGGATGCTTTGGAAGGTGTACTCTGTGGCCTTGTACCCCTCTGAGGTCCCTGACCTCCCCAGGCTCCCTCCCCAAATCTCCAGGAGTTTCTCAACCTGGATCTGGCAACCCCACCCCCCACCCCTTGCCAGTGGCCAGGTGGGACCTAGCAACCCTCTCTCTCTCTCTCTCTCTCTCTCTCTCTCTCTCTCTCTCTCTCTTTCTTGTGTGTGTTTTCCAAGAATAAAGGGGGACGGGGAGAAGAATTCAAACATTAACGTTAAACATATGGAACACTTTTCTACTATCATGATAATGATGTCAGTGGCTTAAATGTAACACTGCACGAATATGTCTGCCCATATGATACGATCAGTGTTCCCTCTAAGCTGAGTTAGTGTGAGCTAGCTCACAGTTTTTTAGCCTCCAGCTCACAGATTTTTCTCTCAGCTCAGGAAGGAGGGCTCCAGAGCAAACTAATTTATGCAGTAGCCAAATCGCTCGATCACAACTTTAATGCCAATAGCTCACAAAGTATAATTTATGCTTACAGGACTCCACGGCTTAGAGGGAGCATTGGATACTATGTGTGTAAAGTGCTGTCAAGTTGCAGGTGCTTTATGGCAGCCCCTGCAGTGGGGCTTTCAAGGCAGGTGGGAGGCAGAGGTAGTCTGCCATTGCCTTCCTCTGCAGAGTCTTCCTTGGAGGTCTCCATTCCAAGTACTGACCCTGCTTAGCTTCCAAGATCTGACGAGGTCAGGATAGACCCAGCCCCACTGGTGGACCTCCTGATGGCACCTGGTATTTTTGGCCACTGTGTGACAGAGTGTCGGACTGGATGGGCCATTGGCCTGATCCAACACTGGCTTCTCTTATGTTCTTACGTTCTTACCATGCTACCTTCACTCTCTATATGACTACAACTACTGTTCTCCATGGCTTCTGAATCTCCTCGTCTGAGGGGATTGTGGAGCTGGTCAGTCTCAAAGCAGCTTTACTGGATTTGTAAAGATGAGTCATGCTCTATCTAAGATCAAGAACAGCACCACCCAGCAGTTACATTGGGACCAAGAGATTTCACTATATGCCACTGTGTGGGCACTGAATTATAATGTATTATTAAGAGACATGTTGCATCAGGCAAGAATCGACAGCATGAAGAAGGTTAACATGCATGAATTTACCTGTATGGCTTCAATGTGAACATTACTAATATTTGTCATCAGGGCTGCCAGCTCTGGGTTGGGAAATACCTGGAGATTTGATGGGTCAGGAAGGGTAGCCTGGGAAGGGTAGCCTGGGAAGGGCGGACTTTGAGGAGAGGAGGGCCATCAGCAGGATATAATGCTAGAGAGTCCACCCTCCAAAGCAGCCATTTTGTCCAGGGAAGCTGATCTTGGTCATCTGGAGATCAATTGTAATAGTGGGAGACCTCGAGGTGCCGCTTGGAGACTGGCAACCCTGTTTGTCACAAATGGTCTTTGACCATAAATAAACATCATTCATTCAACCCTGTTTGTCATTTAGATAGAACCAGGTGGGCAGCCATGTTGGTCTGAAGCATTAGAACAAAGTTTGAGTCCAGTGGCACCTTAAGGCCAACAGAGTTTTATTCAAGGTATGAGCTCTTGTGTGCACGCACACTATCCTCAGATACAATGAAATGGGAGTTACCAGTCCATACATATAAGGCAGAGGTTGAACAGCACATTAGCATACAGCATAATGAAGATGTTTTAACAGATGGAAACAGGAATAAGGAGATAAGTTTATAAGGTCGCCATTGTTTGGATTTAATAACGGGGAAAGGGAGTGAAGCAAATCAATGTATCAAGATGGGAGATAGATGTGTAAACGTACCGTGCTTCATTGTGGTGTTAAGTAGTACCTCGAATAAAAATTTGTCGGTCTGAAAGGTGCCACTGGACTCAGACTTTGTTCTTCTGTCATTTAGATAACTATAACTATTTGTCATATTTATAGATTTTCATTTAGGCATTTGTCATTTAGTGAGTTATACCCATTTCTTGTACCTATTGGTTTCATTTATACCTTCGTTTCTAGTCCACAAATCACGAGTCGACCTAGGGATGCCAGCCTCCAGGCAGTAGCTGGAGATCTCCTGGAATTACAGCTGATCTTCAGATTACAGAGATCAGGCCCCCAGAAAATGGCTGCTTTGGTGAGTGGATTCTATGGCGTTATACCCCACTGAGGTCCCTCCCCGCCCCCGACCTCCCCTTCCCCAGGCTCCATCCCCCCCAAACGTCCAAGAATTCCCCAACCCAGACCTGGGAACCCTAAGTCAAAGTAAGGCTGAATCTGCTCATTCCCATAAAATTGGTTAGGGGAGTGAGCATCTATAAAACCAGGGCTATTTTTGGGCAGGAACGCACAGGAACGGAGTTCCGGCTGGCTCCTGAGTTGGCCACGCCCAGCAGGCACTCATTAGCATAACAGGCCACACCCGCCCACAGGGGGAAGGCCTGGAGAGCACCCCCCCCCCTGGTGACTCCAAGGGGGGTGGGCCAGGGGTGGCCTGGAAGGATCGGGGAGGCATTTAAATGCCTCCCCGTGCCTTCCCCCGCCTGTCGAAGGGCCAGCTTGCCCGGGCTTCCCGCAGCCACAGGGCACCCGGGCAAGCCAAGGGTAGGCATGGGGTGTGGCCTGATATGCTAATAAGTTCCTGTTGTTGGGCATGGACTGTTATGCTAATGAGTTCCTGCTGGGCTTTTTCTACAAAAAAAGCCCTGTATAAAACCATAGCCCTACCTACTATCTGGTCCACACCACCAGGCTTAAGCTTCTAAGAGTGGTACCCAAATACAGTCATGCATACAGAGTCCCAGAAGCAGCAAAGGGTACCTGGGAAAGAGTGCAGTGGCAGGTAGGCATTGGTATGGTGGCCGGTGCAAACCATGATCCCATCGAAAACAGATGACTCCTGTTTCTCATTGGTCTCAGTGATAACATTCCACTGGCCCGTTTCAGCGAAGTCTGGACTCTTGCTGATGTTACAAACTTTAGTCTGGAAGTGAGAAAACAGACTTGAAGGGTTTAGGTCTTTTGCTTTGCCTTCTTCGCTCAGCATAGAGCGCGATCACACGTGCCAGATAACTCCGGGGACGGGGGGGAAGCGAGGCTATTTGCACCGCAGTAGTTTGACCCGCCACTGTGTAATCAGACGCACCGGTGGGTGAGTCAGGTTTTTCCCATCACCGTGTGTTTCCGGTGCACTTCAGCGAGGGATCACTGACGCAATGGGAGCGCGCCGGAGTGATCACACGGGGAAGTCTGTCTGCGGCCCGTTGCAAACCCGTTTGATACTGCACATTCCCTGGTATTTTTTAACTCCGCTTCTTCGGCGGAGTGAAACCAGTTGCCGACGGGTATGGGACGCTTGCCAGATGTTCCCGTGTGATCGTGCCCTTAAAATCCGCCCGGCATTCATGCCCATTGTGGGTAATTCTGCGTGTGATCGGGACCATACTCAACCTGAGCGATCATCACCCCACCTGAGAAATCGGAGGGCAAGAAACAACCCACACATGTTCTGAGAAGCCACCTTGCCCTGGAGCTCAACAAGGTTTGGTGTGACTTCCAGGGTCCAGTTGGTTCAGCTCCTGCTTTCTCTATGAGCCCCGCCCTTACCCTGAAGTGGATGTACTTCAGAAGGTCAAAGTGCTTGGCGTACTGCCGGAAGTATTCCATGATCTTGGAGTTGTGCATGTAGTTGGGGTAGTCATCTGGGATGGGGAAGTCGCTGTAGCACATCATCTCTTTGGAGGTGTTGATGATCACGGATCTGTAAATACTGGCCCGGCCTTCCTCGAGTTTCTCCTATAGGAAGCAGAACGGCATGGTGAGCAACTTCAAAACAAAGAAAAAGATTGACAGGAGCATCTGCCTCGTGGAACAGACAGAGAAGCTTTATTTCAGGTTCACTGTTATAGTTTTCCGGAAATATCCTGGGCATTGTAGTTTCGTGAGGGTACTAAAAATTCTTTTATTAATGAGCCCCACCTCCTTCATCAAGCCCAGGGCTATTTTTGGGCAGGAACGCACAGGAACGGAGTTCTGGCTGGCTCCCAAGTTGGCCACGCCCAGCAGGAACTCATTAGCATAATAGGCCACACTCAACAGCAGAAACTCATTAGGATTGGCTACAATTATGGATATGAGGCCTAACATGCCAAAAGCCCTGGGTTTTGACAACAAACAAGGTAAAGAGAATAAGAAGCAATAGGTGGGTGTGGCTGGATGACCACACTTCTGGTAACATGGGGGAGTGGCCTAATATGCAAATGAGCTGTGCTGTCGGGGTGTGGCCTAATATGCTAATGAGTTCCTGCTGGGCTTTTTCTACAAAAAAAGCCCTGCTCAAACCTGAACTCTCCCTAGAAGCTAAAATAACCAAACTGAGACTATCGTACTTTGGTCACCTTATAAGAGGACAAGAGTCACTGGAAAAGACAACAACACTAGGAGAAGTTGAAGGCAGCAGGAGAAGAGGAAGACCCAACATGAGACGGATTGACTCCATCAAGGAAGCCGCAGTCCTCATTTAGCAAGACCTGAGCGAGTCTGTCAACCACAGGACATTTTGGAGATTATGAATTCATAGGGGTCACCCTACGTCAGAATCGACTGCCCTGCTTCCCAAGAGCTCCACATGATCTCAACCACTTGTATATTTGTTTGTTTGGAGGCATTTATATCCTGCCTTTCTGCAAAAATGTACCCAAGCTGGCTTGGCTAACAGAAGGAAATAATACAGGACAATAAAAAGAACAATTCAAAGCAGGGCTTTCTTTGTAGAAAAAGCCCATGCAGGAACTCATTAGCATAATAGGCCATAACCAACAGCAGGAACTCATTAGCATATTAGGCCACACCCCTGACAGCACAGCTTATTCGCATATTAGGCCACACCCCCATGTTACCAGAAGTGTGGTCATCCAACCACACCCACCTTTTGCTTCTTATTCTCTTTACCTTGTTGTCAAAACCCCGGGCCTTTTTTTGGGGGGAGCAGGAACTCCTTTGCATGTTAGACCACACCCCCTAATTGTAGCCAATCATAATGAGTTTCTGCTGTTGGCTGTGGCCTGTTATGCTAATGAGTTCCTGCTGGGCGTGGCCAACTTGGGAGCCAGCCGGAACTCCGTTCCTGTGCGTTCCTGCCCAAAAATAGCCCTGATTCAAAGTATATTAGCAGGTGTACAATGTCTGTGGAAATAATCCTAGTAATCACAAAGGAGGAGGAGGAGGAAGAGAAAGAAGAGGAAGAAGAAGAGGAGGAGGAGGAGCAGCAGCAGCAGCAGCACCCTTCACTCAGAGTCTCAGAGCAGCTTACCGTCTCCTTTCCCTTCCTTTCCCCACAACAGACACCCTGTGGGGTAGGTGGGGTTGAGATCTCTCTCAAGAACTGCCCTTGAGAGAACAGCTCTGAGAGAACTTGTGACTGACCCAAGGTCACACCAGCAGCTGCATGTCGAGGAGTGGGGAATCAAACCTGGTTCTCCCAGATCTGAGTCCACACTCTTAACCACTATACCAAACTGGCAGACTGAGACACTCATGGAATAATCATTATACTTTTCCAGGAGAAATGGCATACATATTTTAAATAAATAAATTACAAATAAGTAGGTGTGGATTCAGGTGGGTAGCCATGTTGGTCTGAAGCAAGAGAACAAAGTTTGAGTCTAGTGGCACCTCTAAGACCGACAAAAGTTTAATTCTGGTATAAGCTTTTGTCTGCATGCACACCAAAGCTTATACCCAGAATTAAACCTCATTAGTCTTAGAGGTGCCACTGGACTCAAATTTTGTTCAAATAAAACAAGTGTTGCCTGAAGATCAGTTATAATTCCAGGAGATCTCCAGCTCCCACCTGGAGGTTGGCCACCCTAGTGGCACGTCTGGTTTGACAAGACCCCCGGCAGACTTGACAACAGTGTAATGAGTAGCTTTGAAATATTCCCTGGGCAGGTTATTATTAGCACACAATTTAACTATGTTCCCTTTCATGTGCACAAATCAGATTTCTACAGTGCTGACACTAAAGTCCCACATCTGTTCTGCTCTGGGCCTTGCTCGGGAGTAACACACACTCTAATTACCACCAGGGCTGCAACTCACCTAAGGAGGATGGGGGGTGGGGGAAGAAAGCATCCGAGAAGCCCCACCGGTGCTCTCCCGAACAAGCTGAAGGGTCACCGGAGGTAGCACCGCACCGGATCCTAACCACACTTTTGTCTTCTGTTTCCTTTGCACATATCCTTTCTTAAAGACACACACCCCACACACACACTTTTTCACAAGACTCGTTTGTTCTGTTTTAAACATCCAGATCCTCAGTTTTTAGCCAGTGAAATGTCAGTCGGCACCGGAGGGATGTGCGGGGCCAGGGGGTGCAATTCTGGGCCCGTAAGGGGGTATCGCAAGCAGGCGTGCCAACCTCTAGGTGGGCAAAACAAAGGAAATAATCTGTGCTCAGCAACAAACAACCACAAGTCTTCAACAATTGTATCAAATTTTTGTAAAGAGGACACAGTCCAATGAGATACGAATATAATGAAATATAACAAGGTGTGTATTACATACCACAGGACAGCGATCTATTTAAACTTTATCAGCTCATACACCAGAAACTCAAATAATATGGAACACCATCTCCCTGTTTAGATAGTCCCACAGGAGTTTAAGGATTCACTGGAGCCTGGTGGATGAACTCATGTAGGTTCCTCTGATATTCTTCTTCACGTGTAAACTAGCTGATAACAAGCTGATAACAAACTTCCTAACTGTAAGAGTGGTTGAGCAGTGGAACAGTCTGCCTCGAGAGGTGGTTTCAAGCAGAGGCTGGACGACCATCTTTCGGGTATGTTGTAGGTATGTAGGGCTATCTTTCAACTATGCTCCTGCAGAGTGCAGGGGGTTGGACTAGATGACCTGCAAGATCCCTTCCAACGCTAACATTCTATGATTCTATAAGCTGCGTTTTGCCAAAGGCTTCTTCCCAAAGATGGAACTCTAAGTCTTCTGCTCCAAAGTGAAAAAATTCCACCGACATATTGTTTCCTTGCACAAAGTTGTTGCCAATCTTAAATCGAAGCAGGCTTGCCATTCCCCTGGGGGGGGCGGGGGGTTGCCCACTTTAGGACACACACACCCTGATCCGCCGGCCCAGATCTGGCTGGTGGGGGAACCCCGCCCCCAAGGTGTTGGGATCACGCCAACGTGCCCGGCACAATGATGGTGTGACTGGTGTGGTACCATAGAGTTTCTGGCCGAATGCTAGAGTGTCCCCCTGGCAACGTGCCTAGCGCAATGATGTCACTTCTGGGTGATGTCATCACAGTGTGCGTGCTGTGTGCATGCACCAGAAGATCCTGGTAAGGAAGCTCCGCCCCCACACCGGCAGCAGGTAGGGACCTGGCAACCCTAAATCAAAGTGCAGCAACTTTGTGCAAGGAAACGATATGTTTTGCCTACTACTTTTGTGCTGCTCTTTGGTTTTGTTTTTAACCTCTAAGTGGGGCCCGGAGACCTCCTGGCATCACAACTCATTTCCAGATAGGGTTGCCAAGTCGTTGCAGTTGCCGCAGCGGGGGACTCCTGGGCGGTGACTGGCACGCGCGCCGTACGCACGTCACCCGGAAGTGACGTTAGGACGCCGGACACGCTGGGGGCGGGGCCACGACCATCAGAGGGAAAGCTCTATGTGGCCCTGCCCCCAGCGTGCTCGGCATCCTAACGTCACTTCCTGGTGACGCGCACGTTGGGGCCCGATCCGGCGGCGGCGGGGAACGGGCCCCTATTTCCAGACTACAAAGATCAGTTCCTCTGGAGAAAATGGCTGCTTTGGGGGGGGGGCTGTATAGCTTTATGCCCCACTGAGGTCCCTTCCATGCCCAAACCCCTCCCTTTCCAGGCTGCACCCCTAAATCTCCAGGAATTTCCCAACCTGGAGTTGGCAGCTATACAGATGGTTGAGGAGGCAGCTTCTGCTGGCATCAGTCACAGCAACTAGGAGGTATGAGAGCATTAAGTACCCTGAGCATCATTTTTCTGGTCCTGGTACAAACTTGTCACTCAGAGACTTTGGGATTTCTCACACATGCACACAGTCTGTGTTGGAAGTTCCAGATGTAATGTCCCCTGTCTCAGACCACCAGACTGAGTGGCAAGAGAGACTAGATAGCTAGATAGGCACACTAACCTTTCTTCCTGTATCTACTCTTCTGCCACTGTCCCCTTTGAAATGCAGATTGTGTTCTCAGGGACCATTTCCCCATCCTTCTTTTCTCTCATTCTTGAAGACAAGCTCTCTTCCTACATGCACTAAGAGAGAGACATGCGGTCCTCTCTTGGCACCATGAGGCAGATGGGTCTCCCGCCATCTGCTTCCATCCTTTAGCTAGTAAGTTAGTAATCTATCAGTCTCTGCTCTTTCCTGTCCAAAGTGTAGTTCTCAAATAAAGCCAGAAGTATTTCTCTTCTAAACTTGCAACATGGCTCTGTGTAGCTTTGTAAGCTGAGTAATCTGGTAAAGTGACGCTCCTGCGTTTGTAGCTTTATTTAAGCACTCTGCTAACTAATGGTAACGGGACTAACCACACCAGTTAACCTCAATACTCTGCCCTGTTTGTACTGTCTGGTGAGCTATGGAACAAAAATGTCTCGCCATATTCCTGAAAAGGCGTATACCGTAATCCTTTCAGCCTTAAAAGGACCAGGTTACCAGTCACATAGCTGTGCATGCCCCGTTCAAAACCTAAACCGTTATTTGAAGACAGGGGGGAAATGCACACAGAACAAAAAACTGCATTAAC